TTGATGTCTCTGAGAAAGGAGGATGCCAAGGRTGCCAAAAGTGCTCTTTTTTAAGTACTCTTTGAGCACAGAGATGCAAACCTAAGCACAAATGTCTGCACACTTGAGCAAGGAGAAGGAAGGCCTGAGATTTGTAATTTTTTTCTTGGGTCATACATGGAGAAATATTTATTAGCATTGTTACTGGAATGGGGTGTAAGTGATACCTTCTTCAGCTTGGTCAGTGCTCAGCAGTTTTGAAAGATTTTCTTGACTGGATGCTACCCAGGAGAAAAATGGTGGCAAATGTGCTTGAAGAGGAAAATCAGCTCTAAGCAACCTTAGAATGCTGGAAATAATAGTTAGGAAACTCTAGAAGGACAATTGATCAGTTTACCAGTAAGCAGTTACTTGGCCAGGTGAGGGCAAAATCTGCAAAAACCAGAAAGAGCTGTCTTTGATTCAACATTTCTAAGCTTTTATTTAAACATGTCATGTAATCATTTCGGCCTCTTGAGAAACAGCTTAAGGGGATCTAAATGGGAGGTTAAATCCTTTTAAAAATATGAATTATCTGCTCTTTCCTGCCCCTTCCTCCTTCCTTTCCCTTTCCATTTATACATGTATCCCCTATTTCCTATGTCTTTGAACTACAGCCAGCAGCTGGATGAGGTACATCTCGAGTGTATAGGAGGAGAGGGAAGGGAAAAATAATCCATAAATGTAAAGACTAAGGGGAGTAAGCTACAACTTCTTCAAGAGATACACGTCTTCTAAGTAGAATATATTGCAAATTCTGTGTACTGCATACAACTTTAGCTACAGTAGTTTATAAAAAGCCTAAAAACAACTATACCCTAACACTGCTGCATGATGCTTTCTGCCAATTTTTTAGCTCATTCATTCACATTCAAATCAGCAGTTTGCATATACCTTAGTGAAAAATAAACCCYTAATTGTAGGAATGCCTTGGTTTTGCTTTGCAACCTATTCAAAATGCTGTGTGAAAAAAACACAGAATTCCACTGTTCCTTTGATCATTTGATGCTCTGTGGGTGAGCAGCTTGTCGCATTTCAGCCTCCCTCMAAAGCAGGCAAACAAGCTGGTTTCTATAGTTATGATGGTCCCATGATAGGACAGTCTCATGACAGAAGCAGGACAATGTTTGGCAGGCRCGGTGGTGTCCTGTGTTCGACCAGCTGATACGCTCTGTGGCCCTGAGGAGAAAACAAGGCACACAAGGCCTSTCTCAGTCCGAGACAAAAGCAGCAAAACTTGTTAAGCTGTGTTTTGTAATGATTTTTGAAGCCTGCTTGGGCTTTTGGTGAACCTGATTGCCGTGATGTTTGCCTTACCACGCTCATAAGAGGAGCCGTTTTTTCTTCTGAATTAGGTATTTGCTCTGCAAAYAGTGTTTAGTGACTAAGTGCTAGTATAATTATATTTTTTAAAACCCTAATTGTATAAATAACGCATTTTATACATTTCAGTAAATCTTTCATTTAAAAAAAGATCTTTRTTTGCTCCAGTTTCTTCCCAGAATTAAATAACTTGTACAAAACATTTAAATTGCATACTGGCTATTTTTTCAGCTTCTCAAACTTAAAGCAGCTGACTTTTAGTGCAGAAAACCAGTGTTTGGTGATGTATGGCTGATAACATCAGTTATGTGACAGRTAAATAATTGGTACCTTTAACTTACCTGTGATGTAAATTGGTTGGGTCTTTTTGAAGGATTATGAGAAATACTTTGTAACATGCTCTTGTGTAAGAGAAAACACAAAATTTTCAAACAAAAATGCCCCCAAAAAAAGCAAAATATAAAACTTGCATAAATACCTATTTGCACATGTGCACTCTCTTTCAGAGATTTCTCTTTGGAAAGCTGTTGCTGAAGAAGCTCTTCCTTGCACATATAACACAARTAACACCCTATTCTGTACTTCAGCGGGGCAGTGCACAGCTTTCGTTGCAGTGACAAATACTGAAATGTTAAAAATAGATCAAGCTTTAAGAATCCCAGATATTTTCAAATAACAAAGAGTGATTTATGTGAGCTCATTTTGCACTTTGACAAAGTATAGAGGCGCTTTTGTACTATGATTAGCAAGGGTGCTGATGTCAGTTCGCTTGTCTAGCTTTAAGCTTTATTCTGCTGCTAAATTGTGCTTTGTACTGTAATCCAGAGAACCTTTGTATCTGCCTTATTAGTGTGTAGTTTATGGAATTGCTTTTGTTTTTGAATATAATCTGTGCCAGTTTCCGAGAGTATGACTCACTATAGGACTGAAATAAATGTTCGCATATGCACTATGTGAAAACCCTTCAAAAATAGTAGCAGGTGCTAGCAGGCTAAATTCAATGTTTTAAATGCTTTATAGTTGCTGTTTTGTAGCCTTAAGGGCTGAAAGGAAACTCTTTTTTAGCTGGTTGGTTTTCCCCAGTTTTAGGGGGCCCTATTTACTCATTAGTGCTTGACAGAAATTGCCAGTATTGCTGAGAACCTTTCACTCCCTAACACAGTTCTGGAAATAAACTTTAGAAGAGGCATGCCTGGTTGATACAGAGTTGATGGGGGGCGTTTTTGCATGGTTGCTTTGTTGTCGCATAAATCATGAGACAAAACGCATCGTGCTGCTCAGTTGCTCTTGTCCCTCTCCTATCTCTAATCTCTTTCCTCCTGATTTCTACTTTGAAAATTTCATCTGAGTGATGGAGGCTGAGGTTAAAGATAAAGCTTGTTTCTGATGCAGTTTGTAGYAGTTATCTGTGATCAGCCTTGCCTGGAGAGAGAGAGACTCTGCTACTGAAGTTTCCTGTTATCCCAGCATCTAAGTTGTCACTTGATTTGGAAACAGGAAACAAAACAAACTCTGCTAATGTTTTTGGGTCACTGTTAAATGGTGCTTATCCAGCTGTGCTTCTAAAATATACTCACATTTGAAATCTAAATGGAAGGTGTTTCATCTCTTACATCTTCCACATTTTAATTGTTCACCCAGTTAAACTTAYTGCTGCCATGGAAATAGTTACTTGAGACTTTGACTTGATTCACACAGCTCAGCATTTAAAGAGAGATGCTGTTATTCAGAACTACAATAAACACAACTCTTTTGTAAAATGTAGACATTATCTTAAAATCAAAAAACTTCTAGAGCTTTGGTAGTTGGAGAATGGATCACAAGCCTTAATTAAGCYGTCTGGCATTTTTCCCTCTCTCCTGTTTTCTGTATTATCTTTTCATAATAGCTTTCTAAGCGTGATACCCCAAGAAGGCATGCCCACTTGACAATGAGGGTTTTGTGAGTCTCTGGGGCAAAGCCGACGGCGCTCGTTCAGAGCTGGGAGATGGCAGTGCAGTTCTTGCTCTTTGTCCTTTATGTCCTCCTTCCAATAGCTTGTGTGAAGGTGGCAGCTACAAAAAATGAARTGGAAGCACTCTCGTGCCTCACAAAAATGTCTCTGAATCTTTCCCTAATACATAGCAGGAAACTTGTTTTCAAAGCTGCTGTCCCAGTGTTTAAAGGAGGTCACACATCTTGACCCCTTCTTGGGAGCATCCTTGCTGATTCCATCCCTTTCCTTGGTTAGCACACAGCCAGGGCTGGCCAGAAGGAAAAGGAAAATGCACTCACCTATCTTATGTATGCATTTCTTCTGCTAGTTTTTTGGGGTTTTTTTTTTTCTTTGTTTGTTTGTTTTGGTTTGGTTTTTTTTTTTGTCATCCAAAGGACTTGCTGACAACCTTGTTTGAATATCCTGAAGAAGTTTAAAGCGGGGTGCCTCGGGGCGTGGTGTGAGACTGTGGTGCAATGCTTGGCCACTGCACTGATTTACCTTGGTCTCCTACTTTGTTGGAAAGTGTAAGAATAAAAATAGGAGCATAGTGATGGTTCCCCACTTGCAGGTTTCAGGGTGTGAAAGCAGTCCAGCTCTCCTCGTGAGCAGCAGCAGCGTGTCTGGCTTTTCTGCTGTGCCTGTTATCCTGCCTTGGGGTGTATAAAGGAGCTCCCAGTGTGGTACTGCTGGTAGAGCTGAAAAACTGAAAGTACAGCCAAGTGGGGCAATAAAGATGCTGCTGGGAGCAGCAGGATGGCTGTTTGCCGAGCTTGGCTGAGTGGTTTGAGTTAAGGTCTTTGACGGGAATTATGGCAGGTGATGGAGGCCCAGGGGATGAAGGCAGCTGAGGATTAGTTAGAGAATGAGACATTTTGCTTTTGCTTTTCTCTCAGATCAGCTTCTTTCTGCAGCATCAGGAGGGCTGGTATAATAAGCACAGTGTCAGACTATCAAATTCATTTCTTCTGTACCGTCCCAAAGACAGGGTTTATGTGGTAAAATTAYAACATTTGGTCATTCTCTCCATCCCCATCTCTGTAACAGTTTCAAAAAATAATAATGTTGCTCTTTTTCTGTGAGAAGTACYACTGCAGAAATATGATGAGGTTCTGAGTGCAGAGTTCCCCTAGCATCGAGGCGAGTGTACAATGTSAGCATTGTCTGTTCTTTAAATGCAGGTCGCTATCGCCGAGTATCAGTGAAAAATGCAGTTTAAATGCATCGGCCTGAAACAATAGATATTGGAAACAAAACACCATGGAGCACTTATAGAWGTATTTTATTTTGTCTTTCCCATGCMTCTGAGAGCYYCCTTCAGAAGYCCTTTCTGTTTGCTTTGTTTTTYTCTYCTCCTGGTCACTACCCCACTTTTSTCTTTTCTGTATTCACRCTTTCTCATTTTGTAAACAGTGATTTAATTTATGTATCCACTTGTTATAAACCAAGCCAAGATATAAAATTTAAAGTACAGATTCAATGATCCTCACATCCACTGCTGTAACAATATCTAAGTAGTGCTAAATGTGGCTATCTGGTGTGTAATCTCTTAGAATAATAATTGAACTACTTTTTGATACTTGGCTCAACACAGGTTGAAACCACACACAAAAGGTAACAGTCTTAAAATCTGATTTCTTCCTCCTAATTTTTTTTCCCTTTTTTTTCTCTCCTCGATTTTCAGGCATGGAAGAGAAGATGGTTTGTGCTTCGGAGCGGCCGCCTAACGGGGGATCCGGATGTATTGGAATACTACAAAAATGACCATGCCAAGAAGCCTATCCGAATTATTGACTTAAATTTGTGTCAACAAGTGGATGCTGGATTAACRTTCAACAAAAAGGAGTTTGAAAACAGCTATATTTTTGATATCAACACTATAGACAGAGTTTTCTATTTGGTAGCAGACAGCGAGGAGGAGATGAATAAGTGGGTTCGATGTATCTGTGATATCTGTGGGTTCAACCCTACAGATGAGGGTAAGTTCTGTTGCTTTTTCTGAGAAAGTGCAGTGCCTACATGTGAAGAATGYTTCAAAGATCAGATGACTATCTTTAGCTGGCATATGTTTTAAAACTTGTGTGTATTGGCATTGAAACTTGCTTGTTACCCTGAAAAAAAAGCAAGCAGAACAGAGGGAGATATTCAGAACTTGTTACAAATTAAGTGTGCCCTAGAACTTGGATGACGCTCTTCTGTTCTGCATGATGTTAGGTCTTGGGAGTATAGGAAAAATCTCTAAGTAAAAGCATGCGCAGCAGTAGATCTTCATAATCATCAAAGGAATCCCATTTGGTATAAAAACATATGGTTATGCAAGCAGGAATGAGTGCAAAATGTCAGGTTTCTAATATTACCATTTCTCCGTCTGCTTTGCAACTTGGGGGAAAAGAAAATCCATCCCCCATCAGTTGAAACAAACAAAAAATAACTTGTAGTTCTGCRCTATCCAGCTCCAATCCTACCAAAATAGATATTGTGTGAAGGCAGCTTGTAGGAAAACATGATGGTGTGTTTAATTCCTTGCAAATACCTTGTGGCCATTGCTTGTTCTGAATCCATTCTTATTTATTTACTTATTATTCCTGCATTCCTTGTGGAGATTAGTGGGTTACATGACTTGCTGTAACTCTGTGCACAGTTCCAAGAAAAGATTAAATTGGAGTGGTAAGAGGGTTATAAATAAGGCATGCCTAACTGAAGGGGCTAGAATTAAATCCCTACTTTCTGTAGGATTGTGGATTGAAGGAGAWGAAGGAAAAAGGGGCTTGCATCACTTTGCTCTGGCTGAATCTTTGGAAGTGACTAGAAAATATTGTTGTGCTCTGAAGAAGGAGCCCTTTTCCTCCTTATTGTAGTTTTGAGCCACAACTTTGTCACAAAAACATCATCTATGAACTGCCACTCTAACAGCAAATTCAGGATAGGGTGCTTGTTTTGACAGTTCCAGCRTGTTTCCCTGGCATCCTGAGCATACCCGGGACCACCCACAGCACATCTGAGAGTGACTGCTGTGTGATTCAGTGCTCAGCCTGCCAGGCATCCCTGCCTTCCAGAGAGGGCTGGGCAGGGGGATAACACACCAGTGCAGCTGTGGGCAGGAGTTTCCCTGGCTCTGGGATTGAGCTAGGAATCCGGGATCTAAGGGGAAACCATGCTTACCTGGCAGCTCTTGGGCAGAGCACAAAGGAGCACGTTCCTCATTGAGTGGAACAAGGAGATGGGGTCCCCTCAAAGCCATTACACCTTTCCTCTGAAGGCTGGTGTATTGTTAGCCCTTAATTTTCTGCCATTGAGCTGAAGATGAAACCTGCTATGGATATGGGGAGATGTAACCACGCCTCACACACTGATTTTTGCTTCAGTCATTTGTGTCAGTAACTTCTCCCCTCTGTACTCTCATTGYGTGTTTCATCTTTGGCACTTGAGCCTCAGCAGAATTATTCCAACACCTTCACATAACTGAGAGTTGACAGTGCTGTCTTGCTTTATGGGTTTAGAGAGGTCTTGCAGTGCATTGAGGAAGAATTAAAAAAAGGAAAATGGGAAAATCGGTTGCTGAGTGTTTATTGCCAAGTTCATATGTTTCCAAGATTGATCTTCCTGCCAATGGAAGAGAGTCATAAATGTGYTTTATAGAATCTGTGTTCACCTGCAGTTGATTTTGGGAAGCCAAAGAACAGGTGAAGTTCAGACAGTAAAAGCACACTATTATTTTAGTCTGGAACTAAACAAAAAGGACGTGGGGCATAATCAATCTTCCCTCTAGCCTTAGAAGCAGAAGATAGTGTTTTCTGAAGCTGGACAAAATGCCTCTTGCCAGACTGACAAATGGTTGTGTTGTGAGAGTCCTGTCACTGGCATCCTTTGCTCAGTCAAGAGCTGAGGACTCCACTGGCCTGTTGCTCCTGCTGGGGCTCTTTTGGAAGCCCAGGCCCATTGCCTCCTTGGATTTACAWAGGAAAAAGTTACAATTGTGATGGTGGTGGCTAGTGCTATTAGAAAACAAATGTGGAGTTGTTGTTTTGGTGATGAGAGGGATGATGGAGAAGGAGTTGCTCATAACTGTGGAGAGACCAGAAAAATGAACATCAGAGTTCCTTTGAGCTGCTGCTTTGAGACTTAGTGAAGACTCAGAGATTCCTGTGATTAAAGTTTGCTTTCTGTTTTATTTTAWTAGAAATTATTGGGTACTCATCTTTGTCCAGTGCTTTGTTTTTACCTTCCAACTAGAAACTGATCTATGACTGTGAAATCTTTTCATTGTGGAGATCTGCAGTGTTACCTTTGTATTTGGACAGAGTAGATAAATTTATGTTCTTCAGTTGTAATTACGCATTGAGTCTTCACATTTCTGGTTGCATCATAGAGTAGTATAATCTGTAATTACTGCATTTCAATTACAATATATGCAATATATGGCTTTTTATAGGGCCTTTCTTTTAGAAAAGGGTTCACAGCGACTTAGGTATTTTAAACTTACAACAAAACAGTAACAGAAAGGAATTTTCATTTCAATATGGTAAACATTCCTTTTGCTCTTTAAAAATAAATTTCTGGGTACTATTTATGCTTCCTTCAGCTAGTGCTTCTTGTTTTCMAATGGAAAGCGTTTGTTTCTGTAGCATCTCTCTTTTTTAAAAGGATGTGCAAAGCAGGGGAATTGTACATGAGCATGGGGTTTAGGTTTGCCACAGTTTCAYACTGCACTTCTGGCATTAACAAAAATGTATCACCAGTGTTTCATGTGCTTTGAAATCTAGTGAGAGAACAGTCTGGGATGGAGAGACTGGGTGGACCTGGATATTGACTGTTCTCTGCCTGCTACTGTGGAAACATCCTGTGAAAGTCCTGTGAAGTTCTGTGGCCTGAACTTTCAGACASMTGAAGATAAATGGTTAAAGAAAAGYAGARATAGWGGAARTGTATTTTTWAAAGTGATTGATGAGAAGAAAGGTTGAAGGATTTTTTTTTCCCCTGAGATGAAAATATTGAGGGAAGAACTGACTTTCAAAAAAAAGCTGTGATGAGCAGGACAYGGATCAGTTGTTATCTGAAGAGATAAGTAATTTGTTTTTCTCTCAGTGACTGATGTTACAATAAAGAAAATACTTCTAAGGGTATCTCAGCACAAACTGTGGAAGCCCTTCCCTAGAATTCAGTAGACATCTATGATGAATGTTCTAGACGTGATCCAGCTCCATGTTTCTGTGATTTAGTGAATTGCGTGCTTGGCAGAGCAGGGGAAGAAGGAAATTCCATTCCAAGGAAATTGCATCTTACTACATGCAAACATGTTACTTGCATGTATTCATTTGAATAAAGATAGCAATAGCAAAATAAACCACAAGAAATAACGAAGTGGAGCAAAAGAGAAAAAAAAAGAAAAGCTAAGAACAAGACGTTGAAATCTACAATTACATTTACACAGATAATTAAATGTGGTGAAAGAAGTTTCTGAAATCTTAAGGACCATACTTTGAAGGAGCTGCAGATTGCTTCATGCATGGTCCTTTCAAAGTTTCTGTTCAGGCAGCTTCTATCTGGTGTGGCCCTCATACCTTTTTGCCTTTGGARCAAGAAAATTCTTTTTGGGCAACCATGCTTCTTTCAAGTCTTGTTCTGATAATACGTGCACTGTAGTTTAACCACAGCTTGGGTGCAATATCAGGGACTGACAAAATAAACATAACTTCACCTTCCTATCCCAATTCCTTGTCTTTGATAAATAGATAGTGGGTATTAGAGGTGTTTAGGRTGCCCTTCCTGCATGAAGGGTCTGYCTGKAAGAAATAAAAMGTGTTCTTCTTTGACAGATTTAACAAATGGATGACAGGGSCTGGCACACTTGGCTTATCAAAATCGCCATTCCAACAGCAAATGTTGAATATTAGAGCCTGTGGCCATTGAAGGGCTCAAAAGTGAGAAGTAGCATTTAAATGAAAGAGGGGAGGCTCTGGAGGAACATAAGGAAAAGTGCAATGACAGAGAAATAAGCTTTTAAAAAGTTTTCCRCCAGTTTTCACTATGGAGTTGGTGTACGTAATGAAGAGTTGGGGCATTTTTGTGTCTCTCAGGTACGATCAGCCAGAAAGAATTGCTGGCTCAAAGGTGACATGCCAGAAGGTGGCTGATGCCAGAAGGTGGCWGAWGACCCAGAGTGCAGTAAAAAATAAYRTGARAGGACTGAGTTCAGCATTAGGAGAGAGGGCCTCCAGAGAAGGTTGTGAGTGTGTTTTCACAGAAATAAGGCAGTAGGTTTGGAAGGAATAGTGGAATGAAGGCATCTCTTTTGTGAAGGCTTTTTGGTTGCTTCTTTGAGTAAGTAAGTTTGGGGGGAAAAGGTCATTGAGGCATACAAATACGATTTTTTTAAGGGTGGAATTGCTGAGAACAAGGCAATGGTAAGCGGTGAAGAATGAGGTTAGATCTTTCTGGCAAAATTTCATAGGAAYAATCAAGGGTTTGATAGGGGTGGTAGCTGGTGGCTTGAGCTGAGTAAGGAGAGGCAAAGCTGAAATGATCATTTCCTATTAGCCACAGGAGAAAGAGAAGTGAGCAGACAGGATTAAGATGTCTTCAGCTTCAGATGATGTGGTAAAAGAGCAGGTGCTTAAGTGAGAATGAGGATGAGTAGAGCAYAAAATCTGCAACAGTAGGTCTTGCTTTACGAGATGAGAGGAAAAAACAAATGTACTTGAAAAATAATTTACTATCAGGGGCGTGATCAGAGTCTTAATCTTGAATGTTTGAGGTCATTATCTTAAGCTGCATGTGATAGCAGTTCACATGGAATGTGATTCTGCTCTTCCTTGAGAAAAAATAAACGGAATCTGTTATGCCCAGGTGATTAATTTAGTTTTCTCTGGTTCCTGCTGGACACCTCTTGTGCTGTTAATATTATTGGTGAGTCTCTGGGAGAAGAGTTGGAGAAGTGTTTTGCAGATTGCTGTCCCTCGAGTTGTGAGGTGCTGGGAGG